CTTGGGGCCCCGCCGCGCGCAGCTGCGGGCCAACACGCATCGCGCCGTTCCGTCCGAGGTGGTGCCGCAGCCATGCGCGCCGAGGCGAGTGTTCACTGCGTCTGGATGTCCGCGGCGCTCGTGATCTGTCGGCTCCGGAGTCACAGTGCGGATCGATGTACCATCACTGCTCTGCCACCTCCTCCTCCTCCTCCTCCTCCTTCTTTTCCCCCTCCTTCCCCTCCTCCCCCACCTTTCCTCCAGCGCATCCTCCTCCCCGTCCTCCACCCTGCCATCCTTCTCTTCCGCTCCTTGCTGTTCCCGTCCCCCCGTGCCCCGTCGCCTTCGGTCCCCCTGCTCTGGCTCGGTGGATGCCCTCATTTTTCTCGCCGGGAGCACGGTTCGGAATGATCGCTGGCCGTGGCATGCGTACCAAAGCCGGAAATCAACGCTCGCCGTGAGCTGCTAGCTCAGCTTCGGTGGGCGAGCAGTTCGAGCACCCAAGTGGCTCTGGCTCGGCACCCCTTCGGTCGGAAGCTCCCATCTGCCACGGGGCGTGCCTGGAGCACGGGTTGGCGACGCCTCTACGGTACGGGGCCGAGCTCGAGCCATCCTTCGGATGCGAAGGACACTCTGTCCCAAAAACGCGGCACGCCTAGGTGCCGCCGCGCGGTCACCCTAAGGCACGCTTCGAAAACCTCCGACGGGGAAGCACACCGCATGAGGCGGCGGGCATTCAGCGCCGCAAAAAAAGGCATCAATGCAAGCAGCTCGTTGTAAAGAGGCCATTGGAGAGTCAGGGAAAAGCAAAAGACAGGAGGGGAACCAAGGGAATCACACTGGGTCGCTGCGGGCACAAACTTCGTCCGGGAGCCACTTCCTCAGAAGAGCTTCGAAGTGAGGGCATTTAAAATAATGGTGAATCGTATCCAAATCAATAGAATCCTCAGAAACGCAACCCAAATAGGCATCCCATAGGCTCGGAATGAAAGCGGGGGGAAGTACAGATGGAGCCCGTGATCAGCCTCAGCGGCGCGACGCCGATACACGTCGAGGTCGCATCACAGACGGCCTTGATCGACTGGCACACGCACTCCATCCCACGGGCAGTAGCGGTAGAGACATGCTTCCGAACTCGACGCAGGAGGGTGGCACGAACAGGCTCTGGTTGCTGCGTGGCACGAAATTCAACGTAGAGTTTTTGTTGCAGCCGCGACGTGCCACAAGTCAACCGCACAGGGGGCCGTACATACCACTGTCTCATCCTCCGTGCGTGCCCCAGGAAGGGCGTCTCATCCCAACCCTTGCGCCACCTGAAGGGGATATGATCTAGGTTGTCCCTCGCCTCCTCCGGCTCCTCCCAAACTCCATAGACCAACTGGGACTGCTAAGGCCCAGTAAGGCGACCGGCGTGCTGACCCCCCCCCCCTTCGCGAAAAGAGGTGCGTCGCGCATGCGTCGCCCGTGCGCCGCCCGTGCGACGGCCGCCGAAAAGGCCAGCCGTCTTCTCGAACGTGCGCGTCGCCCTCGCAAGGGGGCAATTTGGTGAGTGCGTCGCCAGCGCGGCGGACACCCGCGGGGCGGATCGCACGCGCGTCGCCCGCTCCACGGCCGCTGAAAAGGCCAGTCGCCTTCGGGAAAAGTAAGTCGCCCGCGCTGCGGCCCTCTCGGCGAAAAGAAGGCGGCGGCTGGGCTACCTCGGCAGATCAGCAAATCCCTCTAACATTACAAATGCAGCGACGCTGCTGAACGCAACCCGGCGCTAGGCCAGGTGGTCCCCGCAGCCGCCGCCGCAGCCGCCGCGACCGCCGCCAGCGCCAAAACTACCACCGTCACGATCACCACAAACGGATGCGACCGCAACCACATCCACCGCGACGATTACGACCAACACCATTTACCGCCATCACCACTACCACGACCACCACGCTTCTCGCGACCACCACAACGACCGACACCAGCACGATCACCGACGTAACCACCACCAGCCCGCCCACCACCAGCGGCGCGACCACCGCCAGCGCGACCGAGGCGACGAACGCGACCACGATCATGATCACCGACATGACCATTACAGAAGCACCCGCCCGCTCCGCCCTCCCCCCTCTCCCCCCCGTCCCCCTGCCGGGCCGCCCTCGCCGCCGCGCCCGCCTCGCGCCCCTGCCTCTCCCCCCTCCTTTTCTCCGTGTGATCTTCCTCTTCCGCCGCCGGCGGCGGGGCCGTTCGCGGAGGGCGGGGGCGCCGCTCGCGGCGACGCGCCGCGGCCGTGGAAGGGGGGCCGAATGAGAAAAAGAACATGAAAAGGGGCACGGGGTGGCAAGGGAAACAACAACAAAGACGAGAGAGGAGGGGGGGGGACAGACAGAGGGAGGCCGGTAGAAAGGAGGAGGAGAAGTGGAGGAGGGAGGGAGACGAGGCAGGAGGGTGGACGAAGAAGGAGGAATGACGAAAGAGGAGGGACAACGAGGAAGGAAAAGGGAAGGAACAGGGGCAAGCACCGCCCTTCCTGGCGCAATGGAGGACGCAGCCGCCGCCACTCGTGAACAGCGCAAGCACGGCGGGCCGACGGCCGTTGCGCATAGCTGTTCGGTGAAATGCTAGGGGCGGGCAAGGTCGCGATTGCGTCGCGCATGCGTCGCGCGTGCGTCGCGCGTGCGTCGCGCGCGCGTCGCGCTTGCTTCGCGCGCGTGGCGCGTGCGTCGCGCGTGCGTCGCGCGGGTCGCTCGTGCGTCGCGCGCTGGCAGGGGCGCGTCGCGCGCGGGTCGGGGCGCGTCGCGCGCGCGTCGCGCGTGCGTCGCGCGTGCGTCGCGCGAGCGTCGCTCGGGTCGTTCGCGCGTCGCGCGCAAGTCGCGCGCGAATCGCTCGAAGGGCGCCGTGGTCTTCCGACGGCGCGTGAACTGCGCGGCCCGCTGGCGAAACGATCAAGGGGCGCGCGCGGCAATCGTAGAAATAGCGAGACGCGCACATGAGAACTGCGAACGCGAGGAGACCAATAGACGACATGGAGATACAGCGCGCGCGGACGAATCCATTTCAAGCGCACGCCCCGTCAGAATTTGAAAAGCGGTTCGTCGCTGCAGCAAGTTTGTGACGTCTCGCCCGCCGATGCATTGGAGGGAAGAAGAGGATGGAAGCGAGGCGAGGGAAGGGCGGGCGGAAAAATGGAACGGACGGGCGAGGAGGGGGCGCGCGGGAGCGGCGCAGCGGCGGCGGGGGCGATGGAAGGCAATCGAAGGGGGGCGGCGGGAGCGAGGAGGGCGAGAAGGAAGTTCCAAGAGGGTGGAAGGACAACGGGGGGTGAGTAGGGGCGGGGGCAGGACGGCAGCCTGACGCAAAAAAACTGAATACAAATCTCGCAAACGGGACAAGACGCGCAGCGCGTTGGACGAGGGGAAGAGGAAGGAAGAGGGGGGGGCGGGAGGATTGGCGCGAAACGACATGGGGGTGCGGGGCGCGATGCGACGGGGCGAATAGGCGCCGCGTCGCGCGACGTGACGTCACCCCCGCCGTGGCGCGACACGCGCAGCCCCCAATCAACGCGAGGCGTCTTCGTCCTCAGCATCGGTTGGCGCCCCCGAAAAATGCGCGCCAGCAAATCCTCTTGCGCCGAATTGGAAACAGAACGCGTTGGTGGACCGTCGAACTAGAGTGCGCCACGACCGTCAAAATGGCTGCTGGTGCACCGGCGTCGGATATATATATATATATATATATATATATATACACATCGCCAGAGAAATTCCGAAGTCGCGCCATATGTCGCCCACGCACTCTGGGAGGCCAGGGTTCGGGACAGAGACGCAAACCAGGGCCGACGCACGGGTGACGCTCGGGCGACGCACTGAACGAAACTTAAAAGGATGGTGGTGGTCGCTTGACTGGGCCTTAACAACTGAGACCTAACAAATAACGAATATGAGTGGCTCGTGATACCGTCTCAACGTCAACGAACTCCGCGCGGAATCCCAAGCCCTTCATTTTAGTGGTCTTGTTGCAGGAGATAGCGTCCCGAGGGCCAGAAGTCAAACGCCTCGCACTTTCACGGTATTGCTGTATCAATTGGCGATCAAGTGGGCGAGGCTGGAGACGGGACAAAAGCTTCGACACGCACATGGCACGGAAAGCCAGTGCACTCTGAGCAATCCCTAGTCCGAGTTGGCGAGTTTGGTGAACGCGCTCCAAAAATCCAGGAAGGATCGGCTGCCAGACTTTCTCGGCCGCGCCTGGGCCGATAGGAGACCCGAGGTAAACAGCACAGGAAACGATTTGAATATCCGCAAACGGGCTCCCATAACTCGCCAGCACGGCCGAAAGACGGGCGCCGTCGAGACCTCCGCGCAGCATCAGCTGGCAGTTCGAAAAGTTCAGCCGAAGGTTAGCCATGGGCAGGAGCTGCGTCGTCGCAGACGGAGCGGGTCTAGATCCGTGAAAACATTCATCAGGCCAAAGACAAAGTCGTCCGCATACGCAAGATTGAATTTTACAAGTTGCGAGCATCGATGACGTATCCAGCGCAGGAAGGGGCCAACAGACAGCGCGAAAAAGGGGGCATCGACGCAGGACAACCTTGCTTAGCCCCAGCCTCGATCGACACAATATGAAAACTTTCCCCACCCGCCGCGATAATCGCCACATTGGCATCGTGCATCATGCGACAGAAGCGAACGACGAAGGCAGGCAACTCCATTACCTCCAACACGTGGAAGAGCCAAGCCTGAGACAAGCTCGGGACAGCCGACGCGAAGCCGGTCAAAAGAATGGCAGAGCTCGCGTCGTCGCAGAGGTGCCGCATAGGCCGTCACGCCTCCGCCCTCGCCACATTCTCGATCATGCCCCTACCTCTTACACATGTACATGTCTGCTCCTTCCCCATTCAATCGCGCGCGTGCTTCACCACCGGAGAGATGAAGCCAGTCGCGAGCAACTTAACATCAGTATTGCTCATGCTCAGTGGACGAGCGGAGGCAAGAGCACGCGTCAGTGGGCAGCCAGGCTGGCCCAGATGGCCGGCTCCCTTAGGA